ATGGAATATCTTCATTAACAAATTCAATACTGTAGCATCAAATCTGAAGAATGTATGTTCTGATGATGCAAAGCTTAGATTTGCTGAGACTGCCAGAAGCATGATCTGGAATGTGAAAAGATCTGCACCTTTGCTTCTTGAAGGTGTTCCTTCATCTTCTGAAGTATTTGCTACAGAAGTTTCTGCTGAATCTGCTTCTGAAGAAAATCCACTGGCTATGACAATTATGGAAAATCCCTCTGGATCTGTTGCTCCTGACTCTGCATCTCCAATGGAAATTGACTCTGCTTCTATTCCTGCACAAGAATCCACTCCTTCTACCTCTACTGAGATCAAGAAAGAGAATCCAGATTTGGAAGATAAGATTGGAGTTTTGGAAGCTGGACAATCTGAGATTAAGTCATGGATGGCCAAGCAAGACCAGAAGACTGAAGACATGGCACAATGGATGTCTAAGCAAGATCAGAAGAATGACAACATGGCTAAATGGATGACAAAGCAAGAAGAATCTTCATCTGAGATCACTCATCTTCTGAAGATGATTCTGTCCAAGCAAACCTAGTTTATATTTTTTCTGTATCTGATGTTTATGCACATGTACTTGAATTTATCTGATGATTTATCTGTTTTGAATATGAATGAATGACTCTGCTGTTTTCTCCTCATGAATATATCTTTTTTGTATTTCCTTTTTTATTTGTCTTTAAAAGTTTTACTTTTTGATTATGACAAAAAAAGGGGAGAAAATGGATCTGACTGTTCAAATAAACTCTAACTAAATGAAACTCAGACATGTCTAGTTATAACTAACGTGAACTCTTAGTATTTTAGAACATTTGAAAACTATGACAAATTCTTTAAAAGTAACTCTGAGATCCCTAGATCAAGTTTAACCTATCAGGATCTGATTCTGAAACACTCATCAAAGTCAAGATCTAATTTTTGGAACAATCAGGCTCTGATTCTGAAAAGAATACTCATGCAAACAGGGAAGTTTCTATTCCTTCTAAGTATTCAATTCAGGAGGAGATTCATAATCTCAGGGGGAGTTATAATTATATTTTTTTATTGAACAAAATTTCTTATGTTTTTGTCATCATCAAAAAGGGGGAGATTGTTAGAACACAGATTGGTTCTTAACTATATCTCTATGTTTTGATGATAACTCTTACGAAATTTTGTATTAAAGAATTATATACTCTAAAATTTTGTTTAAGAATGTTTGCTGCAGATATTAAAGTGAATATTATTCTGGAAGCAAATTAGATCTGAACATGAAAATATGCAAGGCTCTGAAGCGTCAGAAGCATCCTTTAGAAGAATCTGAACGCTGCCTACAGAAGATTCTGAAGCAGAAGCTACATAAGAATCTGAAGCAGAAGCCAGAAGCATCTGAAGCATTGAAGATTTCTGTATGAAGAATTTCAAGCTTAGTTTATTTCAGAAGACTCCGATAGTACTACGCTGCCAGTACTGAGGATCTAATCCCAAACTCTGCTCTGAACAATTACACGCTGAAAGCACACTTGCTGCATTGCTCTGATTCAGCAAACTCTGATGAACATCAGAAGGCTCTAATGATATTTGCTGAAACTTGTTGAAGAAGAATTCAAAGTTATGTCCGTTGGAATGGCCAAACGACTCTTTCCTCATTTATGCTAGACACAAGAACACAGACAAAAAGGATTTCTTTGTGCATTCTATTTCTAGGAAAGGTCATGTGATGTGAAGACAAAAAGGCTCAGACCTTTTTAGTACACAGCCTTCAACGTGAAAAGCTACTTGGACCTCTGTGCCTATAAAAACAAGACTCCATCTCTCTTCTTCAGTTGACGAATACTTGAAAGAAAATCATTACAAGCTCTCATACAAATCTTTATCTTGCTGAATTTATTTCTAAGTTCTTAAATCTTAAGTGTAAAATCAAAGTTGTGATATAGCTTAATTAGAAGCATTTAAACACTTGTTTTATTCTTACATTTGATTGTAAAAGATCCTTAAGAAAATCCTGTTGAGATCAGTAGTTCTTAAAAAGACTAAGAACAGTTGCTCTTAGTGCTTGCTATTGTAATCAGTTGATTAATAGTGGATTAAGTCTTTGTTGAGAAAGGCAAATCACTCTTGATAGGGTGGACTGGAGTAGTTGAGTTCAACGAACCATGATAAAAATTCTTGAGTTTTATTGCCATAAGTTTTTTAATATACTTATTCAACCCCTCCTTCTAAATATTTTCTCACCTTCAACCTGCACTGCCTTTCGTGTGAACCTTTTGATGTACTTCCGGAGGGGTTCGTCGGGGGCCTGGATTATGGCTCCCAGTGCGGCCTCTTTCTTCGGATGGCGCCGGGATGCTGTGAAGTGTCTTGAAAAGAGATCCTTCAGGACCCTCCATGACGTGACTGATTCCGGCTCCAGACTTTTGTACCACGTCATGGCACCCTTCCTCAGCGTTGTCAGGAAGAGTCTGCATTTGATAGCTCCTCAGAAATTTTGGTAGTCGAGCATGGCCTCGATATCTTCCAGGTGGTCGTCTGGGTCGGAGGTACCGTCATATGTCGAGAGTGTTGGGGGCTTCTCCATCCCGTAGGGGATGGGAGCCGCCATGATCTCTCGGGACAAGGGGTCCTGTAGTTGTCCTTGTCATTGAGAGTTGGTGACTGAGGGGGTGATGTCCCTGGTGGCGGAGGCGCTTGATTTTGTGTCCTCGATCTCCTGACCGGAGGTTCGAGCCTCGGAGGTCTGGTCGGGGGATCCCCCCTGGTTGGCCATTGCTCCCGGACTTGTCTCCTTGGCGACCTGGTCCGCTCCCGCACTACTTTCGGTTTGGGCCTCTCTAGCCGGGGTCGACGATTCCTGGGATGAGGGGATGGACTCCTCAAATTTCCGTTCTGGTCTTCCCGCGAAGGGGAACTCAACAGGACTTCGTGCTCTAGTGCGCCAATCGTTTGGTTGATGGCCGCGAAGAGGTCGGCCACTGTCGAGTCTGCTCCGGCCGGAACATGGATGGGCTGGAACGCTGCCGGGCTCCTTGGCCGAAGAACAATCTGGTGTGCAGCTTCCGCAGACGAGGGAGAGGCAGTCTGGCTGTCCCTCTCGTCGGTCTCTGGAGGTTGGGATGTCTCTGTTTGCTTGCCGACGTTCGTGGCGGGAGCGAGGATGAGGCCGTGAACGACATCGTCATGGTGTGGGCTAGCCATGATTGCGGAATGTTGATGAAACTTTGGTTCTCTACTCGGAGGAACGGGGAAGTTTTAGATTCCCACAGACGGCGCCACTGATCTGACTGGATCAGAAGGGGACCAACGACTTGCCACACGCTGTTAATCTGTTGCCTGTTCACCGGTGTTGAAAAGGAGATGGGGGTGTACCTGCAAGACACTCCGATGCCAAAGTAAGAGTTTGGACAGAGTGACAGCAAAATATAGAAAAAGGGGGTAAGAAGAGAATACTTGACCCTCTAGTGAAAGAGGGTATTTATAGAGAGACCCCAGCGCAGGGCCAACGGTCACTTGAGTTAGGCTGGATTGTCAGGCCCAACCCAGTGCTAGGGCTTATGTGGCGTAATGAATACCAGAACGTGGTATTCGCCCTAGTTCAACTGTCCTGTGATCTCCGGAAAGTGGGTTTGACCTGCTCTTTTGGGGGTGGGAAGTTGGTTGATGACGTGTCCCTGCGGAGGGGAGCACGTGGAAAACGTGTGAAGGACACATTGTTCTGCTCGACAAGGGAGAAGGTCCTGCCCGCGGAGGGACATTTCCTGCCCGACGGGGACTCTGTGCTCGACGGCTGTGACCCAAGCTGGATTGGGCTTGACAGAATATCATTGGGTTGGGCCTGCCCGGTCAAGCCGGGGCCCAGGCCAGAACAGGTCTATTGTTATTAAACACTAAATAAATGAATTGTTTGATTGAGTTTTGTGCCTCAATGGACCGATGGATTAGACCATTTAATTAAGTCCAATGAAAAGTTTATGTCGTTGAGATATTTAAGTGTCTTTCCATTAGATAATTAATATATTTTAAAAACCCTAAATGACAATGAGTATAATAATCATCTCCTACTCATTATCCTTCTCTCAAATAATACACCGTTTTTATTATTATTAATTATTTAATAATGTGTGTCTATCCAACTATTTTAAAATTTATCACTTAAAATTTTAGATAAATATCTGATACCTCTCACTTGTTAAAATAAGCCTTGTTAAAATAAGCCTTTAATCTTTAATTAAATGTTTGACTATGAATGTTTTCCATCTTAATTATAATAGTGTTTCTTTGTTTGATATATACAGAAAGGCTACTATCCGAGTCAAGTGAAGTGGTAATCTTTTATCACTATGGACCACTTTTTTTTCTTTCTGGGATAGAAAGCAATGAAACTCACCTACCCTAACTCATCACCATTTGACCAATTTTAACAGCACCACTACTAATTGGTACTAATCAATTTTCACAATTAAAAAAACTATTATAATTACTATACTTTTAACAATTTGATAAACAACACATTTTTTATTTCACCAACAAATTTCACAGAACTGTATCAGTTAGTAGCAGAAAACTCAAAAGCTCTCGGAAATTGAACCAAATCTCTCAATGTTGGAATAGAAGCATACTAGTACGAGTGAGAAAGAAACCTTTATTTTTAGAAATTTATTTATTATCTAGAATTAGAATAATCATACTTTTTAGCAACTATAAACTGAATTTAAAACGAGAAACACTTTTCAGTTAACCTTCCTTTTTCTAAATAAACTTTTTTATATTTATTTGATAATATTTCATAAATTATTTAACCGTTTCCGTGAGAATGACGTCGACGAGCGTTAAATCTGATCCCGATTCCGTTCCATCTCTTTCTCTCTCTCCTCCGAATCGAAGTTAAAAAGGAAACAACAGATTCGTTTTTTTTTTTCACAAAGACACAATGGAATTTAACGGTGTTAACTTCCCATTGAACTCCGTTATTTATAACCGACAATTTCTTCATCACGATAATGGATCCCTTGATCCGCAAGCTCCGGCGCCACCTTCTCCGATGGAATCACCGATCTCGTTCCGGTAACTCATTCTCATTCTTTTTTTATTTCACTCACTTCACAAATTCGCAGTTAATTCAAAGTAGATGAATGTGATTTGTTGAATTGTTCAAAGTAGATGAATGTGATTTGTTGAATTGTTCAGGATCCGTGTTTTTTGTGAGGAGAATTTCGTATAAGGAAGTTAGAAAAGCGACTGATAGTTTTCAAAGAATAGTTTATAGCAATTCCGAAGTTTCTGCGTATGCTGCGAATTTCGGAGAGGGACGCGGTGGTGTTTGTTTGGTGAAAGAAGTTAAAGATTTTGATAAAGGAAATGATGAGAATTTTCATAAGCAAGTGCAGTTGTTGGGACGTTTGCATCATCGACACCTTCTTTCACTCAAAGGCTTTTCGCTGGGACATGATCGCAAGAGCAAGAGGTTTGGCATTTTTTGCTTTCTTGTTTGAAATGGACAGTTAATATTTATTTCAGTCTAGTTTCTTTGTAACTTTTTGCATTGGGTTATTTCTGCAGACTGCTCATATTTGACAACATAGAAAATGGAAGCTTAAAGGAGCATCTCAATGGTAAATTTAGAAAGAAAAATAGAAGTTTAGAGAAGTATCTGGATGAATTTTACAATTTTTTTGATTTTGTTTTAATGATTGAATGTTCACAGACCCCTTGAAGACTCCTTTAAATTGGAGGACGAGGTTGCAGATAGCTAATGGTGTTGTGGCTGCATTGGTAAGCTCCGGAAATTAAAGCATGTCCAAACCAAAGATACCTTATAATGTCAAATTGATGCTGCACTCTTATTTTATTTTCTATTGCAATTAATTTGAAAACCTGAAATTTTAAGTCTCCTAAATTGATTATGGATGTGGGAAAACCCTGCTAAGCTGACACTGTTCAGTACATGTTCTGGTGAGGCCCCTGTCTGAAATAGAAAATGCTTGGCAAGTTTGGTAAAATGAATAATGGAAATTAGTTCAAGATCAATTGCTAAAGTTAGCTTGTCTCTATACAATTTTTTGCATGGTGTCATTTAGAAATTGATCTTCACCTGTCAAAACTTATGATGTATGATTATCTGATTTCGGGCTTTTGGCCTCTTCTCACATATTTTCATTCTCAATGCAGGAATACTTGTTTCTTTTCAGTGAACCGCCAATAAGTCATGTCTCTATTAGCTCTAGCAATATTATGTTAGATGAGAACTTCACCCCTAAAGTAAGGAATTAGTCCCCTTTCTCACTCTAATATATCATATCTGATTGATCATTACCAAAGGCATGCAAATAAAGAAATACAATTCGGAAATAGAATTAAATGAGATTCCGTTCTGTTGTTACAGCTATCTGATTTTGGCCTTCTTACTGGTGGAAGTTCTGTCATGATGACACAAGGTTGCTTCTCTTTGTAAACTACACCTAATTAAAACAAAAGACCAATTTGAAGTACTTACACTTTTTAGCTTACATATTTAATTGCTCATTGGCATGGTCTATTTCAGATTGCACGGGGCAGGAAAATTGTAAGATTATATTCCAACTTGGAGTGCTCATCCTGGAACTTGTCACCGGTCAGTCTTCAGAGATGGAAGGTTCTGATTTAATTGAATGGATTCAAGAATCCCGATTTTTCAGTTCCATAGATAAGATGTTAGATCCTGATCTTGGAAACAATTATGATGGTACAGAACTTAAAAGTCTTCTAGCTGTGGCAAAATTATGTATCAAATCATGGGACAAGCCTTCATATACAATTCCTCAGTTATTTCGGTATCTCCAAAAGGAGACTGATATTCCCCAGCATTAGGTTTGTTACTTGTGTTGTTTGAAAACCTTGTGTTTTTAGGGAGAATGTGTGAGAATATTTGTTTTGTGTGAGTGTATATATACTTTCGGGATTCTTGCCTCTTCGATAACCTTATTTGAAACTGATTGAACAGAAGAATGTTAGTAATATGTGTCTGTTCTTTTGTTGTCTTTGATCTTGTATTTTCACAAAAGATGATACTGATGACACATTTGTCTGCTTTTGGACTAATTTACAAAAAAATTACATTCAAAATAGAAACATTTTAAATGCTTGATTTGTGAAAAGCTATTTATAGGAGCATTTGAGAAATAATCTAATTTTAATCATTTTATAAATGAGAAAGTTAATAGATTTATTCAACCGATAAAATAATTAGCTAATATATATTTATAAAATAAGGACTACATATCACTTTCATGTACTTTAAAGACTAAAAAAGAGAAGAAGAAAAATGTATTTGAAGATTTATTTTCGATGATAATTTTGGTGGAAAATTTTCAATGTATTTAGACTGGTATAATTTTAGCTGTTATACATCGATGGCTTCTTAATGGTGATATTTTTGGAAAACACCATCTAACCATTATCAATATTCTCTAGGACTATGGAATATTGAGCTTCATTGAGACTTCCTTAGCCACTAAGTGAAAACCGTGAAGCTAATAGAGCCAATAAGCAACCCCTGTAGAGCAGTTGATGAAAACTTGTGGAAAGGAAAACCAGAAACTTCTTATGGAGAGAATTATGCCCCCTTTTGTCATTTGGCTATGGAAAATCAGAACAGTGTGTAGTGTCGGATGGCGCAAATGGTGTGCTTTTCATCTCAACCAACTTGAAAAGTGCTGGATGGAAAAATGACTCAACTGTGAAGATCATTATGCCACGGCTTTTCTGCATAACTGCTTGAACACTGGTTTATCAAACAACCTTTTGATCCTATACCTGTAGCAATGTCAGCAATTGAGTTTGTCCAGGGATAGAATCATGCTAATGCAAGGAAGAACACTCCTTCCATCATGCAGGATGCATATCGCTTTAAAGAGGGATGTACTGGTTGGGGACTTGGGGCAAGAAATAACTTCAAGGAAATCCAATTTGAAGCTTGCAAGCAGGAGATGATGATGCTAGATCCAACAATGGAAAATGCAATGGGATCAATTAGATGGAGCATGCAGATTGCACAGGCACAACAGCTCAATAAAATCATCATGAAACTCATGCCGATGTGGTGGTAAGATTGCATTAATTCCCATTTGGCTGCAAAATATTTCGATTAAGTGATTCAAGATTGTTGTATTTTGATAGAATATTTTATTATTAACTAAATAATAATGATCTTAATATACCTTATTTAAGTTATTTATGTCAAATGAGTATTAACAAATCCCCTTACTTTATAGCAACTAACTATTACAAGGATTTGCATGGTTGGGCTAAAAAAACATAGAATCTCGCAAGATGAACAATATCTTTCTCGCAAGATGAACAATATCTTTTGGAGCGCTGCTCCAAAAATGTTAAAGATAGTGATCAAAATTTCAAATACGGCTCAAGGATGCATTTGGTGTATGAGAATGCGGTTGCAATGGAGAAGAATGATAAAGAAATTTTTGCACCCAAAAAGTCCTATAAGGATTTAATGATGGAGAATTCTAATGGAGACGAGAAGAATAATTGTACTATGATTGTTATTTTAATTGATGAAGAAATAGAGAATCTCTCAAGGGATGATGAAGAAAAGTGTCTGTTGATAGAAGAAAGGAATATAGGTCAATATGATTGTCAAACTTTCATACTTTTATGCAAAGAAGAGGAGAGAATTGTCAAACCATGGAAATCAGGATTTGTTGTTAAACTTTTTGGTGGGAAGATTGGATACAAGGTCTTGGAAACTCGTTTGAAACAGATGATGGTGAGGAATTGCATTATCAATACCATAGATCTAAGTAACAACTATTTTTGGAGGGTCTTAATAGATTAGATGATCAATATTTCCAAGATCTTGAGCTATCTTCATCAATGCGGGGATCTCACTGACTTGAAGACTGCGTTATAGCTCAGATTTGATTTGAAAATATGTGCACCATGTCGTGCCGATAGATTGCCTCGTGGTTTCAATCGATTGGGCATATGTGAGTCAACCTCTTTTGTGTTTTTTAGACTTTGTGCTGGATTTGTTTTTTATTTTGCACATCTGCCTAACTTTGTTTGCACCTCCTTACTATAAGTTGCTAGAAACCTCATTTATTTTGGTTAGCACAATAATTTTATTTGATGAGTAAAATTAAATACACTATTTAAAAGGATCTAATTGGAGTTTTTATTTATCATTTCAACTTTAAAAAAGTGCTCTACCTCAATTATCAAGAAGACTTGATAAAAACTTTCCTCTTTTAAGTGAACACAACATATTGTGGTGTGTCCTTCTCTATATATCGTTGGATATGAGAGTTGGTTAAACAACGAGATGAATATGTTAATCACAAACGTATGCACTCAAGATGCTATGAGGTTAGCTGATCATGGATCAGAAATGTTGAGTTCACCCTTAACTAAAACTCTTGCTTTGATCACCATTTTTGATGCTTCATCATCGAGAACTCTTGGATCAAAGACTTCCCAAAAACTATTATTTACTAAAGAGTATACTCTTTGCTTTGTCCAACTTCATTTAATATTCTCCGACGCTTCATAACAACTGTCAAGCAACCCTAAGACTTTGTCTCTTCTTTCTAAGATTCTACTTGACCTTCCACACATTCTCTCAAATACAATTCCTTCATTTAATGTTGAATCCTCCGAAGATCTTTCAACTACAGAATATGTTCTTTCAAAGGAAACTATTAAAGTAGTTTGATAGGAGTTTAATGAAGTGGAGAATTTCTTAGTTTTAGAGCTTAATACATCATCTTTTAAGTAGTTGGATTAGTTCTCAATAATTTCATCCTTCTTTGATTTTTCTTGAAATTCAAGAATGTTCTAATCTTTTGATTTAAGGATTGATTAAGTTTTCAAATTTTAATTCTTAGATATTGGTTAGTAACAAATGTTCCAATATAGTTTCTAGCTTTTCCAAACTTTGAAAAATATTGATGAATGATACATTTTTCAAATCTTAATTCTTAGATATCTGAAGGTGAGGAAAATACACAAGAAGGCGGGTTGGATTGTGTATTTTGTTTATTAACTTTGCCTCTGATCAGAATTCAGAATCTAAACTGGTGTTTAGATTTTGTTTATACGTTGCACCAGAATGTTAACAGAAGCAAATAAAAGATAAAGAACATACAAAGATTTATATTGGTTCCTCCCAAATGAGAGTAGTCAAGTCTCCTTGCATCACAAGATATTTTTACTATAACCAAAACATGATTACAATCTTTTATGCATTTAAGCATAAGACTTTTCTTTGCTCAGACCTTCATCCTGAGACTTCCTACTTAAACCCCTCAGGTGCAAGACTTCTGCTTAGGTTCCACAAACCCAAGACTTCCTTGCTTAAGCCCCTTAGGCTCAAGACTTCAGCTCAGACCCTCGGTCCAAGACTTCTCTACTTAGATTCCACGAATCCAAGACTTTTGCTCAAGCCCCTCAGGCCCAAGACTTCCTTGCTTAAGTTCCACGAACTCAAGAATTCCTTGCTTAGGTTTCACGAATCCAAGACTTCTGCTTATACTCTCAAGTACAAGACTTCTGCTCAGACTCACAGTCTAAGACTTTCTGCTCAATCAACAACTGATCAAGAATTTTAATTCTCTAGCACATTGTAGGAGTTATACTTGGCTCAAGCTTCTCCGCAAGAGACTTTGATGCTCAAGCACATAGCAAGAGACTTTATCTAAACTAATAAACAACATGTTTAACAGAATAGAGAACAAGGTGTACTTGATACAAAATCAAAGGTACATGGTGTTGCAACCCAAAATTTGACCCCTTAGATCTTCATAATCATTTTAGGGTCATATGCATTTGATTATCTAACCTCAACATGTTTCAAGTTGGTCTTTGTTAAGATACAGGAATCAAGGTTCCATACGGCCGAGAATCGAGATTTCAAGATGTTTAATCAGTCAACGTATTGGATTGGTTCTCCGTGAAATAAGTCTCCACATCATCAAAAATACTCCAATGGATCAAGTATGAATCCAATTTGAGGTTGTCACCTAAGGATCAAGAACATCGCAGTTCAAGATACCCGATTAGGGTTTTCAAGTAGGAAAAGTCAACTGTAGTTTGACTTTGGATTTAAAAAGTGTTCCAATGGTGGGATCATGGTCCATGGAGTTCATATGACTTATTAAAGTCTACTCAATAAGTTTCAAGGCCTCAAAAGACCCGGAACATCAACAGGCGACTCGGTAGTCATCGATCGATCGTTCGGTTGACCGAAAAGTCAACTCTTCACTCATAAGGAATTCGACCTCAAGGTGGGAATCAAAAATGTGCCTAATGACATATTACACCTACCCATGAAGTTTCATGACCATTGGATCAAGGGTTAGGGAGTAATCGCAAAAATCGGAAATTAGGATTTTTAAAAGGGCAAGACCATAACTCCCTAACCACACATCCAATTGAGTTGGTTCAAAGCTCATTGGAAAGCTATTGACAAGTCCTACAAAAGTCCCAAAGTGGTCCATGAGCAGAAAATGCATAGAATTGGAGTTATAGCCAAAATCATTTCAAGAGGGCAAAACACTTAGAAAATTTCTAAGTTTTCTGGCCTTGAAAGTCATGTTTTCAGCCAACTTGGAGGGGTTTTTCAACCTAGTTCCACTCAAAATTTGAAAATCTCAAAAACATGAAAGTTGTAGAGATCCATGAGGGCTTTCCAGAAAGTTATAGAACTCATTCATAGCCCTTGTGAGATGAGAGTTATGAGGTGTGCAAGTTGGGCTTGAGCATTGGTTTGTTAACTTCTCAAAATTCAACATAAATTGATTTTCAACCACATGGTTCATTTCCAACCATAGAGATATATCTGATGTGGTATTAGA